ATATAATATTTAAAATAAAAATATAATTTTTGGAAAACAACAAAATAAATAATAATCGAATATATTATAACAGAAAGAAAATTAAAAGGATAACAAGTGCAATGATAAAAATTTGATTTAACGAAAATACCTAATTTCATGGTGGTTGATGGTTCCCGAGATAATTAGAAAAGAAAGAATAATTAAAGAAAAATATAATAAACTATGAAAAGCCACTAATTCGTATCAATGAAGACATTTATAATACTATCTGTAATGTTCCTTCCTGTTTCGTGGTTTTTTATATTCTGAGCTGAAATAAACCTAACACGAAATATGATAATTTCGCAGTATATATTATCGCGGTTACCTCTGTTATCATACATACAACGTATCCTCGTGAATAAACGTAGATTTACAGCAGCAGGGGCAAATATCATCGCACAGTTGTGTATATTTACTAATTTCTTTCTTTCGTAAATATACACCCACCCACACGCGCACAAAAACCCACCACCACCACCACCACCCACCTGTCCACCTATACAATTACAATCGTATTTTAATATTTTAGTAATTTTTTTTTTCTATTTTTGCCTATATCTCTATATCATTTTATTACCACACATTGACTTAATATAATACTTACATAGAATTTTTATTTCTTTTCGTTTACGTAGAATCGATTTTTCTTATCGATTTTAATACATATCTTATCTATTTGTTTCTTTTTTTTTTTTTTGTATTTATTGTTTTTTATTTTTTCTTTTGTCCGACTGGCTCTGAAGGAACGAGAAAGAATTTATATTTGTTTTTTTATTATTATTATTTTTATTGGAAATATTTTGTGTAACGCGTGCCAAAAAATGTTGATATTATAAATTTCTTGAATTGTCGATTAAACAAGATAAAGTTGAAATGTATCAATTTTGTTTTTTTAAATTGAATTTAATTACCAACTTCGAGCACATTTTTAATGGTGGGTAATAAAAAGTGGTATCCTTGAACTAATTTATTCGCTCAAACAATTAACATTCATACTTTTGCGCAAATAGGATTAAACGTGTTCAATGTTTTGTAATTTTTATTGAATTTGAGGATGATAATTCAAAGCTAGAAAATATATACATAAATCAACCATAAGCTTGGTGGATTACATTGATAAATGATAAGAGTTTATCTGGTTTTTTTTTTTTTTTTTTTATATTCATTCATCGATTAATAATTATATTATTAATTGCAATTTTTATATATATATATATATATATATAGAAACTTAGAACGTAGACAAATCATTAACAAGCAATTCTATAGAAAAATTTCCATTAGAATTATAAAAAAGAATAAAAAAAAATGTATTATATTTAATTGTTATCATTATCGATTTTTAACTGCAATAATGGTTTTTTTTATATATCTCGTTGTTTCTTCGTTGTTGTTTTTTCAAAGATAATAATTATAATAACAGAAATTACAAGTTACAAATTATTTCCTCGTTAGATTACGGTCATTAGTTTTTGTACGAAATAAACATATTTTTTCCAGGGTCAAATAATTACACGACCAAAATTTACACGTCCCTTGGACAAATTAATTTTTATTCGATTGAAATTATACAATATTGTTTAACAATAAGATTCGCGAGATTAATTCAATTTTCATTAGTTCGAGAAAAATCGCTGCTAAGTTTGTACGTTCCTCATTGTTTTATCCGTTCCAAAGTTTTCTTTATACTTAAAAATATATGTTTAAATATATATTTGTAAAAATAATGATAAACAATATTTTCGGCTACCGTGTTATTGAAAAATATCGATAATTTGTTTTTCACGTATTTCTCAGACATATTATTAAAATAAAAATTGAAGATACGAAATATTTTAATTCTTCTTACTTGCATTTTTCACCTTATCGCAATAACATAGTTAAGAAAAACATTTCTGTTATTTATTGATAACATATTTTTACTTATAATAAAATTTATTTTTATTTCTTTTATTCTTATCATTTTGAATATATTTTATTGCATAGGATATATTAAAATACAATAAATCGAAGAATTGAATTACGCGCTCTTATCGAAAATCCCGCTGCATTTCGATATCTCTATGTACTACGTTAGTCAAAGTATCGATAACAATTTATTTAATATCCATATTTGTTGAAATTCTAAAATATCATATATATTATTTAAAAAAAAGTAATAATATTATATTAAGTTAAATTAAAGTTATTCCTTTTAGGGTATAAAATCAATTGAAATTATTTGTTAATTTATTAAGAACATCTTACAAGGAGACCTTACAGTTGTACCCTCACGGATTTTAACGAGCTTTGGTATATTAGTAGTATACCTTTAAGGTATTAATGTGGTAAAGCATTTTATCAAAATGCGAAGCCAATTTTGAGAAAAATGCTTTTAAAGTTTTGAATTTTTTGTATATATATTTATATGATCTTAAATGCAAATGTTTATTATGTGATGCGGTAGCGTAAGTAGTAGCGCTCTTGCTTCTCGTGCTGTTTAGTTAGTGTTCGATCCTTTATGGGGGAAACTTTTTTAATAATTTTTTTTCTATCTGTTTTTTCATATTTATAAATTTTTAAATATATACAGGAAAGAGAAAATTATTTATTACAAAAAAATTAGAACTAATAAATTTGTTAACATCTTGCGCAAATAATAAAGAACAATTTAATCCTTGAATTACAGTTAACATTTTATTTTTTAACAGGTATATTATACATGAAATAAATAATGATTAAAATATATACGATTGTTATTTGATAGTATATTGAAGATTTATCTATTTTCATATACCTGTTAAAAAATAAAATGTTAACTCTAATTCAAGTAATCGATTTTCCTTTGCACAAGATATTAAAAAATATATTATTTCTAATTCTTTTGTAATCAATAATTTTCTCTTTCCTGTATACATTTAATAATTAAGAATTGTGAAAAAAACAAAATAAAAACAAATAAAAAACAATTTATTAAAAAAAACTTCCCCAATGAAGGATCGAACCACTGATTAGCAGCACGAGAAGCGAGTACGCTACTACTTAAGCTAGCAAACCACTTGATAAATAGTCGCATTTAAGATAATATAAATATGTATATAAAAAATTCAAAACTTTAAAAGCATTTTTCTCAAAATTGGCTTTGCATTTTGATAAAATACTTTACGACCTTAACACCATAAAGTTATACTACTAATATACCAAAGCTTGTTAAAATCAGTGATGGCATAACCGTAAGGTCTCCTAGTTAGATTTCTTTAGTAGCTCGAGTGGCTCCCTCTAGGAAGATGTGTCTAATTTTTAACTATTGTAGTGACCCTAAATTCTGGATTTATCAACGTTGCCATGGTAGTTTCTTACAATAATAAACCTAAAGTTCGGATTTGTCTTCAAATGGGATTAATGCAAGGTTTGATTAAAGTATTTTGGATATCTTGGAATATAACATGAATGAATTCACTCTCAAACTTAATTGGAAATTGTCTAACACTATTATTCAACTTTATTCTATAAAACACATAGACAATGTCTTATTTTTGTGGGACTTCTTTAATTGATGATAAAGAGGATACTATGGAAAAGCATGGTGTTATTAAGGTAATAAATTAAATCTATAACTTATATATATATATATCATGTGTATTCAATTTTATTATACAGTTGTACAATATTTCTGTAAGCGTTGCATGTTCATCAATAAAAATAAGGTATTGTAATAGTTCTCATAGGATAAATATTAATTCATTTATTATTATTCTAGCACAGCAAACAAAAAGTAAGAAATACAGATGAAATTGAACCAGTTCATGGGTTAACCTATTGTCGTAGAAAAGTTAATAAAGCACGCCATTATAACAAAGTGAAACTTAAGTCTGATGATTTATCATTCAACGATAAAAGTGATGATAGAATAAGCTCACCGAAGAATAAAAGTAGACGTCATCTTCGTAAAGAAATTGAAAGACTTATGGAAGAGAATCATATGTTGATGATTAAGTTAGAAGATTTGAATGCGATGTCAGGTAATTTTACATATGACTGGTAAATTTTAATCATTATAATTTATATAATCTATAAATAATTTTAATATTTTAGATAATAGAGAGGAACAGAAGGATAAAGATAAATTAATATTTAAGATACGCGATAAGTATCACAAATTAGCTCAGGAGTATGAACGAGTTCAGCAGGAATGCGAACAATTAAATGTCTTATTAAAACAAAAAGAAACGGAGTATAGACAATTACACTTGCATCATGAAGAATCGACTCAAGTTTTTCAACGATTGGAAGAAACGAAAAATATTTTATTAAATATTAATGACAAATTGAAATCCGAGAACGTTCAGTTAAATGAAGATACTATGCTTCTTAAAAAAGTTATTTATCAATTAAATGCAGAATTGGAAAGGTATCAAGACAAGGTTAGATCGTGCGGACGAATTATACCTTCCCAATTTAATACTCATACAATTAATGACGAAGAATTAGTTAAAGAAAATAAAAAGATGATTGAATCTTGGGGCAATGTAAACATGCATGCTTTGGGTCCGCTATTGGATGCTTATCAAGAAAATTTAATAGAAAAGAAAGAATTGATAAGCAAATACGAACAAGAATTAAATGATTTTACTGGCAGGTGCAAAGAAATTATATCAGAAAATGAATTTTTACACAAGGAACTGGAAAATTCTAAATCAAAGGTATTGTAAAAACAACAAGATTTATATTCTTCATTATTGTTTATTTCAATGAAAACTCTGTAGTGTAATAGGTTCATGGAAGAGATCAAAGAAATTTCTAATGATGCTGCATTAGTCAAGGAACAGAATGATACGTTGGTGCAACAAGTTTATAATCACAAACAGAAATTTGAAGAATTTCAATCGTTGTACGAAAGAAAGATTGAATCTCTGACTCAAGAAAACAAAACTTTGCACAAAGAAGTCGTAACTTTCAAAACAGAATTAAGTAATCTTCAAGGGAAATATAAAATAGTGAATGAAGGCTATGAGATGTTAAAAAATAACAGTGACAAAACTATGCCGGTGCATGTACACATTGCAGCAGTGGATGAATGTAAAAGATTGTTCGAAGAATTGAAATCACAGTACGAATCGGAAAAGAAGAAACTTTCTACTCGTATAAAACAATTGGAGGAATCTCAACCGGATAATGAAAAACAATTGGTGACAGTAACTGCGGAAAGAAATCATTTAAAAAATTTAACAAAAACGTTGGAACGAAATTTAAAGTAATTCAAACAAATTAAATAGCATGAAGCATAAGAGTTTAAATATTTATTGAAATAATATTTATTTTTCAGACGTACTCAGCATAAATTAACAAACGTACAGAATATCGTATACTCTGTACAAATATCACGCGACTCGTATAAAAAACAGTTGAATAAAACAACTGTTTACTGTGAAAAATTGGTAACGGAATACGAAAAAGTAACATCAGAGAAAGAAAAATTAAAAACATTGTTGCACGAAAGGGAGAAAGAGAATGCGAATATTCAATATATCGGGGACAGCATAGCACACCGAGTAGGAAATTTAAAAAACCAAGTAAACGTAAGTAAACATGATAGTATCATTATTAAGTAAATAATTAAAAACATTGTAAATATGACATAGGCTGTACAAAAAGATGCGAAGGATCAATTAGCATTAGTGGAAAAGCATATAAAGATTCATAAGGTGGGAACTCATCAATTAAAATCAGAATACCGTCAAGAGGTGCAACGTTTAAAACGTTTGCTCAAGCAGAAGGATGACGTTATATCTCAACTAAGAAATAAGAAAGAAAAACAAGTATCTCAAGATAATATTGAACTGGTTTGACAAGAGACTAGAGAGGAAGCAATGGCTAAATGATTTAATTATCATTCTGATAGTTGGAAAGCTTAGGCCTAATGATTCGCAATCAATCAGATCGTATTGGTAATTTCAACAATTTGTTAATTTATCTCTGAATCATAAGATTATGATAAAACATTATCAATGACATAGATAAACATAACTAGTCAATTATTATCTTCCAATAAACGTAATTACAGTAGTGATGGTGGTAGTAGTAGTAGTGGTGGTCGCAAAGTATAGGCTTGTAACCGGTTAATAATATCATTCATTAAATAAAACTGAAATCTCATAGACGATGCGCATAACTCTAGTTTACTTTTTTTCATTTTTTTAAACTCCGAACATAAGAGTCAAAAGCCATTGGCAATCAATTTTAATCTTCCTTGTTAATAGAATATCATTATGTCCGGAATTCATGTCACACGCTGAAAGAAAGAGAGAGATGAAAATATCCTGAGGGGCTTAAAACACGTAGAGGAAATATTGAGATTTGTACCGACGACATCACCTTTATTTAGTGGTGACATCAACCAAGACAAGTGGTCTCGAAGGTTACCAATTGCTTTAGAGGGATCCAATGCTTGTTATTTTTTTCTATGTAATAAGCTGATAGCGTTTATTCTTAATAGAAATGATCTCACGTGTCTCTCTCTTTTTCTCTCTTTTTCTCTTTCTCTCTCTCTCTCTCTCTCATATTTTTATGCAAAAAATTTTATATCTACGTTCATTCGCAATAGATCTGTCTCACATTATAAATTATATCTCAGTGAAGTACTTGATTATTATCTTGGACTGTCGACCCCGTTACATGCAAGAAGATAAAAACACAGATTCATTTGAATAAGTCAAGTTTGATTTATGCTAAAAGAATATCTTAGTATTTACATTAGTCGTCTTTATTTTTTGTTTTTTTTTTTTAATCAAGAAACATACACATTCGATTCGATATTTTTAAGAGATAATTAATTCGAAAATTTTTCATTGAGATTAATAGGTTATTATTAATTTCGCATCTTTTGTGTGATTATTTCAGGAAAAGATAATACTAGGTCGTGGAAAGTATGTTTTGCTAGGAATCCTGATTCTTCTTCTTCTTCTTCTTCTTATTTTTCTTAAGAATGAGATAGAAAAAGAGATAGAATTATAGAAGAAGGTGTGAGACAGAAAATGAAGACAAACAGCTGCCCTAAATTCTAATATTACAAACCATCTCTAGTTGATGGCTTCCTTGTTTATGTGTATGAAAGATACATTTACCTTAATGAACTACGTACGTTTCTAACGCATACATTCGTTGATTATACTTTTCTCTTATTATACATGCAGTTCGTATTTAAAAAAGAGCTCTCTTCGTTTACGTAAAACCATACTTTCTCATTCTTATAATTATTTCCTTTTCTTTTTTTTTTCTTCTTTTTTCTTTTTTGTTGTATTTTTAACATGTAACGTGTAAGCGTAGAGTCAAAAGAAATTCGTCGTGAATGGAATGATTTCGAAATGACGTTTGAAGACTAGAATAATACTTAAGGTGTATCACCTTACCACGTTACATCGCTAAATTCCAGTATGATACATTTTAAACCGGTCCATAGAAGACTAGAATGTGAAACCATTGACAATCTTAAGAAAGATAGAATCTTATATATGAGAAAGTGCATTAAAAAAACTACTCGATATCGACTTTTTCATCATCCTCCTTCTACTTCTCTCTCTTTCCTCGAACGATCCTGTTTTATTGATTTCAAATAAGAAGAGCTAAACAATAAATAACACATCTTATTTTTTTTTTCTCCTTTTTCCTTAGAAATTTTTATCAATAATAAAAGTAAGAATAAATTTTTAATAGAACAGAGATATCTCTTATGGTAAATAAAACGAATGGTATGAGTTTTTAAATATAAAATCTCAATTAAAATTTTTGATATTATAATAATTAATTTTATATATAGTAGAAGGGTGGTATTTTTTTTAATTGACAAATAAATAAAATAATGAGTACGTAAAAATTAAAATTAAAATATAAAATTAAAATATAAAATTAAATTTAGATTATTTTGGACAATAAAAATAAAAAATAGCAAACTAGTATAAAGATTATTTATAATTTATTCCGACGCGAAATAGTACCAGGAAGTATCATAAAATATATTAGAATAATAATAGAAAGAAAGGAATATATAGGTATATATGGTATATATATATATATATATATATGATATATGGTAAAGAAAGAGAGGGAAAGAGTTGAATAGTGGGGGATGATTCGGTCGGAGTAAAGTAGGTTCGGGCGTGTTCGTTCAGTCTCGTAGGTTTCCGCGTAAAGGCAAAATGTCGTCTGCTAGGCGCGTCGTCTGGCACCGGGTCGCATTCGTGACGCAAAGATCGACGTGATAAAGTGATAAGAAAATTATAGTTTGGTGTATATTAGTGCAGCGTGGTTAGTCTTTAATAATTCAATTAAATTTTCTATTTTGTTTTATCCATTAAAGATATTTTAATTAATACAAAATATATCCATACATACACACACATACATACATTCATACATACGTATATACATCATACCATATACACTTATACATATATATATATATGTATATGTGTATATGTTATGTCGTATATCGAATAAAAGAGAAAAACATAAGAAATATAAATCGGTTGTGAGTTTTCAGTGAGGATTAAATTCAACTATTACGAAAAGGATTTATTAAAGAAAATTAGAAGAAGAAGAAGGGATAAAAGGATAAGAAAGAATTTTGTCTATGACAATAATGCAAGAAGAAGAAGAAGAAGAAAAGAAAGAAGCTTTGTAACATTGATTGTCATATGTAGTTTTTCTTTAACACATCGATATAACTACGAACAACAGCCGATCAACGTGAAAAAGAAGAAAGTAAAAGAAAAAAAAGAAAAAGGAAACAAGGAAGCAAAGGGGGGAAAATAAATTAACGACAAAGGTGAATACTAAGAGTGGGGGTGGGGGGGTGTTGTTTTTAATGAACTCCCATGCCCTATTACGAAGATAACGATAGATCTTTATCGTCGTCATCATTGTGTTGTCGTTGTCGTCGTCATCGTTGTTATTTCGCGGCACGAGGCATCCACAAACTACTGCGAGATGCGCGAGGAATAACGGCGCACCATCGATCACTTTGCCAAAGTTCGAACGTAAGATGTTGTGATTTGTTTTTTTTTTTAATTCTAATTTATATATAAAAAGGAAAAAAAAAAGAACGATCCAATAGAGAAGAGAGATTATTAGAATAACATTAGAATTAATTCATTATAAATCTCTTTCGTAGTGTGAGTGAAGGGTGGTGAAGGAATTGGAGTAGGAGTGGGGGTAGGAGTGGGGGGTGGAGGAGGAGCGACACCTGTCTCTGTGTGTCTGTTCGATCGAACATGCCGGCCAATTTCTCTCTCTCTCTCTCTCTCTCCCTCTCTTTTTATTTTTCTAACCTAAATATTAAACATTAGTAATTTTTAATTATTGTCATTAATTATTTTATTTATTCACTTTTTATTGTTAGAATTTAATGAAGATATTTGTATGTTATTGTTTTACGTGTAGTATCAGTAAAAAGGGAATAGTGAAAATTCGTGATTTTTAGTTACAACAACTAGAGGCGCTGCAATCGCAAAGAACGCAACCATGTTTTGCATCATATATATATATATGTGTGTGTGTGTGTGTTACTGTACTAATACATAAGCGAATTTTCCTTCGTCCCTTTTCTCTTCTCCTACACACACACATAGATATACACACACGAGTCCCGGCCAATGCCTCTTCCTTCGAGGGTGAGAAGCATCCTTCCCTCTCTCCTCTCCCCCTTCTCTCTCTCTCTCTCTCTCTCTCTCTCTCTCTCTCTCTCTCTCTCTCTCTCTTTATAGAAGATTCACTCAAGCAAAGATTATTTCCCGGTTAGAAACATTCCTCGTTTAGAAACATTTCTGCTTTACTTACTCTTCCTTTTATTTCTTCTTTTTTTTTTTCTTCTTCTAAACAAGTAACGTTTCCAATTAGTTCTTTTTCACGCAACATTTTAATTCCTCGAGATAAAATTTGATATCAGAGGCTTACAGATAATAATACGCATTTAAATATATTTTGGATAAATTTGATAAATTGTTCGACATTTTGTATAATCTTCTTTTGTATTTTTTTTGTCTTTTTAGGTTTCAAGCAGAATTAGAAATATGAATCGTGCATGTACCTACGCTTTTCCTATGTAGGACACACTCGACCTTCTTTTTTAACAGTCTCAACTAGAACACATATATGGGAAGAACAATGTACAATCATATTTATATGAAGAAGTTTTTACAAAAAAAAAAAAGAAAAAAAGAAGAAATACATTTTATTTAATATTTTTCCACACATATCGCAATATAAGACACGTGCCATATTCGTTTAATAATAATGATAAGAGTTTCATTGCTTTGTTAGAAAATTTATATATGTTGTGTGTAGAATCGCTAAAAAATTGGATACGATTAATTATGGTTAATTATAATTTAATTACTTCAATCTTTCGTACATCTTGCCATGTGTAATTTAATATTATACGAGCATAATTAATCAATTTTAATAATAATTGTTAGCTGTAATCGATGCTCTTATCAATTTGTACAACTAAATTGGATTGCATTTGTTGTTTTGTTTTGTCTCGTCTTGTCTTGTTTTGTTTTGTTTTCTTTGGTTCGTATAGAATTATATTGCAAATTTATTTATAATTTGCGTTGAATAATTTTATTGAATTTATTACGAATGAGAAGATGTGAGATTAAATCGTATATTGTATACGTGTTTCTAGTTTTCTTGTAAATAGGTTTATTACTTATATAGTGGGTCAGTCTGCCAGAATGCATCGACTTGGCCCTGTTCTACTTGTGTTGCTATCTGTCCTCAACTAATCTCTCCAGTCTCTCTATTCTCTTACGTAACTGAGGATTCTAGAAATGAAACCTTTCCCTCGATCATCTTTTCTACCATTTTTATTTAACGAAACAAAAATAATGACAATGACACGTGATATCGAAAATGCAATCATTATTTTTATATTAATATTATTAAATATTCAAATATTGATTTGAAATTCAAATTATCGGTTATACGTAAATATTTGATTTCGGTTATAATTAAACGTTGTTCGTTTAATTGAAATAATTTGTTATTTTTGTAATATATATATATTTAATAAATTAGAATGAACTAAATGATTTTGTCAAATAGTGCAACGAACAACGACTTTTAGTTTTAAAACGATTGTACTCTAGCGAGTAGTGCTACTTAGCGAACAGTTATTAATACCTCTTTGAACTATTTAAGAATGTTTAAGTTAAATTGACACGTCTTACTATCTATTTTATCTTATAACTTTCTATACAATTATTTCACAAATTTCGTAATCCTATCTCAATATAAAAATTTAATACGTCAACGATACAATCATTGATCCTACCGATAGATTTTTATTGTAAAGAAATGTTACTAAATAATTTCATCAAATTCAGATTGTATAATTATGATATCTGGCAAACGTGTTTATTAACGAATAATTAATAAAATAAATATAAAGTATAATATATTATATTATAAAATAAAAAATAGAGATAGATTAAGTGTCGGTTTTAGATACGAGAAGAAAAAAAAGTACCTTGACCTTTCGAATAAGGAAAAAAAAAGGAAAAAAATATGTAAAAGTGGCATAAAATATTCATCATGTAGAAAATCGATAGAAGAGAATATATCTTCGTTTAAATTTGAATAGAAATTTCCTTATTCCTCGTAAAATAATATAACAGTATAGTTTAAAGAGTTTTGATGGTAAGACGAAAGTTTTCGTGACCGTGACGGTCGACATTTCGTGCAGACATTTTGAACATTCGCATAGAACACGCACGCAAATATTTCGGAACAATCTTAAATTGCTATGAACTTCTTGTTTCAAATCGGATAATAATCATTTCCCCCTTTATCCAAACGCGCGTTACTTGTTTTAACGATTTTCAGATTGCGAGATTGATCGTGAAACTTTAATTGAACGTTAACGATTTAACCGAAGAAAAAGATTACACATCGATGACTCACTGTATTATACATTTTTGTTTTATAATAACGAAAAAGATAAACGAAATGCAAAACGTTTTTTTTTTCTTTTTCATTTTAATTTCCAGCTACAAAAATATTGATTAATTCAAGATAGAATATATTATTTGTAATTATTTATAAATGGATAAGGAAAAATATTTATTTATACAGATTTTAAAGGGAAAAAAATTAGGTTTATTTTTGTTGTTTCTAAATTTGGAGTTTAGCATATAATATCATTATTATATACATTGTATATTATATTCGATCAAATTGATTTATTATTTAATAAAAATGAAAATATAGATTTTGTCGTAATTTAAATTGGACAACTTCTTCTTTCATAAACTCTATCGTATATTTTGTTAGAAAATATTTCTATTCAAATTTGTTCGTTTATATTTTTCTTTTTATCGGCGGTTTGGCTTTAGAATGAAAATTTAAGAAATAGGATATATTATCTTGCGTATAGGAACGTATGCGTATAATTTCTTCGAAACGACATAAGTGTTTATAAAAAAAAAAGAAGGACTGAAATATAATGGATACTTTTGGTGTGTTGAACCATACGAAGTTCAAACAAACGTGAAAAAGGGCACCGGAAGTTGTGCACGTACTTGCTGTTTAAGATTAGGGTGAGAGTTTTC